CGGGAACACGAGCTCCTGGAGCGGCCCCTCGGTGTTGAGCACCGACACCTCCAGCACTGAGGGGAAACGGGAAAAATGGGAAAAATGGGAAAAAACCCCGTGGGAAATATGGGAAAAACGTGGGAAATGTGGGGGGAAAACCACATGGGAAATATGGGAGAAACGTGGGAAATATGGGGAAAAAAACGTGTGGGATATATGGGGAAAACATGGGAAAAATGGGAAAAAACCCCGTGGGAAATATGGGAAAAACGTGGGAAATATGGGGGGAAAACCCATGGGAAATATGGGGAAAACATGGGAAAAATGGGAAAAAACCCCGTGGGAAATATGGGAGAAACGTGGGAAATATGGGGAAAAAAACCTGTGGGATATATGGGGAAAACATGGGAAATATGGGAAAAACCCCATGAGAAATATGGGGAAAACATGGGAAATATGGGGAAAAAAACCCATGGGAAATATGGGAGAAACATGGAAAATGTGGGGAAAAAAACGTGTGGGATATATGGGGAAAACATGGGAAATATGGGAAAAAATGCATGGGAAATATGGGAGAAACATGGGAAATATGGGGAAAAAACTGCATGGGAAATGTGGGGGAAAATGGGAAATATGGGAAAAAACTGTATGGGAAATATGGGAAAAACCCCATGGGAAATATGGGAGAAATGTGGGAAATATGGGGAAAACCCTGTATGGGAAATATGGGAAAAACCCCATGGGAAATTTGGTAGAAACATGGGAAATATGGGAAAAACCCCCATGGGAAATATGGGAAAAAAACCCCATGGGAAATATGGGGAAAAACCCTGTGGGAAATATGGGAGAAACGTGGGAAATATGGGAAAAAACCCCATGGGAAATATGGGAGAAATGTGGGAAATATGGGAAAAACCGTGTGGGATATATGGGAAAAACGTGGGAAATATGGGGAAAAAAAACCCATGGGAAATATGGGAGAAATGTGGGAAATATGGGGAAAAAACTGTATGGGAAATATGGGGGGAAAACCACATGGGAAATATGGGAAAACATGGGAAATATGGGAAAAACCCCCATGGGAAATATGGGGAAAAATGGAAAATATGGGAAAAAACTGCATGGGAAATGTGGGGGAAAATGGGAAATATGGGAAAAACATGGGAAATATGGGAAAAACCTCATGGGAAATATGGGGAAAACATGGGAAATATGGGAAAAACCCCCATGGGAAATATGGGAAAAAAACCCATGGAAAATATGGGAAAAACCCCCATGGGAAACCATGGAAAACCGTGGGAGGGGTCGGGGGAGACCCTCAGTGTCCCGGGGATGATTTGGGATTTGGGATTTCGGAATTTGGGATTGGAGATTTAGGATTGGGAATTTGGGATGTTGGATAGGGAATTGGGATTGGGTTGGGATTGGGACATTGGGACATGGGACATTGGGAAGTTGGGATATTGGGACATTGGGACATTGGGACATTGGGACATTGGGACATTGGGACATTGGGACATTGGGATATTGGGACATTGGGATATTGGGACATTGGGATGTTGGGATATTGGGATGTTGGGATATTGGGACGTTGGGACATTGGGACGTTGGGACATTGGGACGTTGGAACATTGGGACATTGGGACATTGGGATATTGGGATATTGGGACATTGGGATATTGGGATATTGGGACGTTGGGACATTGGGATATTGGGACATTGGGATATTGGGATATTGGGACGTTGGGACATTGGGATATTGGGACATTGGGATATTGGGATATTGGGATGTTGGGATGTTGGGACATTGGGATATTGGGATGTTGGGACATTGGGATATTGGGACATTGGGATATTGGGATATTGGGATGTTGGGATGTTGGGACATTGGGATATTGGGATGTTGGGATATTGGGATATTGAGA